ATCTCCCCAGCATGGCACGGTTCCAGATGAAATGTTGTTGTCCAGAACTCATGCCCACATTCAGTTAATGCAATAACTGCGGCAGAGTTGTAAGAGCACAGGGGGAGATGGAAGCAGGAAGACGCAGGGAAAGAAAACAAAAGGCAAATTATTTCATTCCCAAGGTTTAGATGCAGCACAAGATTTCATACCAGGCTGAACTGAGCATGATCCATGTTTAATGCTTGTTTTGTTCCCTGCAGAGAGAACACAACTGTGCAACTGCTCTGAACTGCAGAATTGCCCAGAGCAGGGTGCTGAGGCACCCATGAGCATTTCCCAGTGGGTGTTTAATTCCTGGAGATGCAGTAGCTGGAAGCAGCAGCCTGATCCATCTCTTGTGAGGTGGAATCTGATTCAAGGCTCTCCTCCAGCCCTTCATCCGGCTGCTGAATCCCATAATCCCTTCGGGATGAGACAAGACATAAGAAAACAAACCCCAAAATCCCCAGAATCACAAAGGGTCATGAATGTTACAAGAAATGAATCACTTTTCTCCAGTTTCCCCCCTGTCTGGTAAATCCCTTGGAGCCTTCCCAGTGGTGCTGCTGAGCCCTGGGAAGCGATAAATGTTGGTAACATGGTGTGAGTTCATGTCACTGCTTTGAAGTGTTAGTCTGAAACACACTTGTGAAAGAAAACAAACAAAAAAAAGACATTTTCAAAGCATTCCTGCATAGGTGTGCAAAAAAAAAAAAAAAAAAAAATCCTAAACAAACAGTAAAACCTGAAAGGCACCAAGATATTTGGGTGTTTTGGCAGGGAGCTCAGGTGATGTCAGGAAACAAATCTAAACAGAAATGTTTCTATGGATTTTTTTCCTCTTTTTTTTTTTTTTTTTTTTGGAGACATAATTGGAAACAGATTTTTTTTTTTTTCCAATTTTTTTTGCTTTGGATTTAAACATTTCCCCTGCAGCATCTGAAGTGCTGTTCCCTGCCTTGTGCGTCAGGATCGAGGAGGGGAAAACTCAGCAGGTTTGGGCAGTGGCCTTGGGAAAGTCGTGCAAAGGCTTTTTTTTTCCTGGGATTTTTACCTAGTGCAGTCCAAGGTAAATTGCCAAATTTACTGAGCCCCATCTTTCTGCCCTCGGGAATCCAGCAAGGAGAGGATGGACCCAGACAATTCCAGGGCTGGACAGGGGACAGAGGGAGGATGAAGGTGGTGGTGGAGGCAGGGCAGAGCTTTGCTCTCCCTTCGTTTTCCCGGGAATCAGGAGAGGCTGCCCTGGCAGCTGAGCAGCTCCTCTGTGTGGCAGCTGCTGGGCCAGCACGGATGGGACAGGTGGGATGTCAAAGGGAGCTGAATGTGGATTAAAAAATTCACAGGCACCGTCTAAAAATGGGATCTGTCCAATAGCAAAGCTTGGAACTGGCAACTGGTTCACACTGTGCAGGCTGGAGAGGACAACAGTGACCAGACATTTGTTTATACAGTGTTTATTTAGCGATGGGATAATAAAAATATCCTTATTTCATGTTTTATTTTTTTAAGAAAACGTTTCTACCTTATCCCAAAACACCGTCTGGCTGCCCTTGGTCCACCCCCTCATCAGATCTGTCATCTAAAAGTGTCCACCAGGCCTTTGACATCCCAGCAGGTTTTTATTTGCAGACAAGTCAACCCAGAGAGAAAGTCAGAGATCCAAAATCATAAATCTGACACAAAAAATGGCCTCCAAACCACCGTCCGGGGTGCTGATTAATTAAGAAATTAAATAAATTGGCTTCATGTCAGCTGAGAGTTCCAGGGATAACACACAGAATGATAATGGGTGAAGCCAAGGGAATGTTAAAGACATACAAACTCATCAGTGAGCTGTGCCACAGCTCCAGAATGCAGTTATTATTGTACAGATCTATGTATAAATTATTAATGTCGAAATTATTTATTTATATCAATATAAATAATGTGTGTAGTTAGCCTGCATTCACATTGACACTTTTTTTTTTCTGACCTTGTCCCAGAGAAAGCTTAAAAATATTATTTTGAAAAAGATTTAAAGTATTTAGGAATTAATAAAATATTGATAAATATTAATAAAATATTAAAATATGGATGAGCACTCCTATATTTTTATCTAAAGCCCTTTAATTTATTTTTTTAAACCAAAAATCCTGCATGACAAAATCGATTAATTCATTGATGAGCTGTCATATTTCAGGTTTCCTTGGCTCTTTTTTATTCCTTGGGTCTTGTTTCTCACCTGTTTCTTGTTCTAAGAGAAACGACTCAGGTAGCACCTAATTAAAGGCATCTGTCACATTAACAGTGTGTTAATTGGCTTTTAAGATAAATTGCAGCCCTGCCCCTTCCTCCAGGCCTTTGGGAGGGCTCAGGGGGGTGGGATGGGATGAGTTGAGTTTTCTTGGAGCAATGGGACAGGGAGGGGGTTTTGGTGTTGCTCTCCCTCTTCCACTGTGCCCCAAAATTGGCATGAGCTTCAGAAATATCAAGATTTTAGTGCCTGGTTGTTTTTCTCTTAAAATTTTTCATCTCTTCTGCTTGAAAAGTTGGGTGGTGGGATTTTTTGTGGGTTTTTTTGTTGTGTTTTTTTTTTTTTTTGATTGGCTGGGTGGGTGTTTTTTTCCTGTGTTGTATTTAAATACTTAATTTGTTTGGAAGCTGTCAGGCAGTATCAGCAATAAGAAGCTGATGGTGAGAACATCTATGGAAAACTCTCAGCTAAGCATACTTTGAGGGCAACTTAACTGTGGGTCCCCACCACGAGTTTTGATCCTCAGCGCTGTCTGGAGCTACAAACTCTCTCTAGAAGCAAATAACTTCAATTCTTACATCCATTTAGAGCAGGGTTTTCCCCCATCCTTTTCCAGCCATGCTTTTGACTCCCTGTTCTGTGAGAAACGGCCTCAAATCATTCCAGGCATGGGAATATCATCTTCCCCCGTGGTTTTTTCTGCTGTGGGAATTGCGTTGTCCCTGTCAGTCCAACCTCTGGCTCCTGGGCTGTGACAGCTGCAGGCAGGTTTTCTTTTCAGGCTTGACCTGAACTTTTCTGCCTGTTTTAGTGCACAGCAGATTAATCCACACCCATCACAGGATTATTTAGGTGGGAAAAGCCCTCTAAGATCCCTGAGCCCAACAATTCCCCCAGCACTGCCAAGCCCATCACTAAACCACGTCCCTGAATGCCACATCAAAATGGCTTTTAAATCCCTCCAGGGCTGGTGACTCCAGCCCTGTCCTGGGCAGCTGTGCCAGTGCCATCCCTTTTGGTGAAGGAATTTTTCCAAACATCCAAATGATCAGATTATTTTCTGTCTGGCCAAGAGGATTGTGCTGACATAGCAATAAATATCTGCACCTCAAAATCCTAATTCACTGTGTGGGATGGTGCGTCCACGGGTGTGTGTGGGGGAAGTTACATGGTGCTTATTTTTATTTATTTATTTATTTATTTATTTGCTCTTGTTTGAATATTTAATGACAACACTGGCCGTGTTTCTCTTTGCTGCTCTGTGTGACAAGCTGTGCACCAGGTTGTTCCGAGGTATTACACCATTAAACCCCTCACAATTTGCTGGCTTTTCTCAGCTCTGCTGAATTGAATTTAATGTATTTATTGAATTTATTGTATCAGTATTAATTTTGCAGCCTCAGCCTTTGTTGCAGGCAAAGTGGGAATTTCTATGTGGCTTCTCCAGACTTTTTTTTTCATCCTTAGATAATGTTGTCTGTAGAAGGATGTCAGTTTGTGTCTATAGCTTTGTAAAAGGTTTGTCATAGGTACCCAAACAAGTAATTGTCACATTCTCAACTCATCTGCCCGGTCAGCGAGCACAGAAACTGTTCCAAATTTCACGCCTGACCTTTCTGTAAGAGCTCCTTCCCCACTCGGGGTCTGGTTTTAATTAAGTGGTTAAAGAGAGCAGCTGTTGTGCTGGAGGACAATTTCATACTGAATTTACTGAATACGAACATTTTAATCTTGGAAAGGTGGGACTGCCCTTTCTGCTGCTCCCTGGGAAGGTTCAGTTTGCCTGACAATAAATTCATCCTGATGGGGCACCACTGGATTTACTGTCACGGGAAACAGGGACGTGATGGTTCTTCCTCTCCTCCTATTCTGTGCCTGCATAATTGGAAATATTAAATGGACACCTGAAACAAAGATTTAATCTGCTATTTAGTTTTTATAAAAAAGTGTTTTTATTGTAATTACTGCACAGTTTTGCCTTGTGCCAGTGGAGGGTGAGTCCCTACGTGCTGGATGCATGAAATGTGTGTTTTCATACAGTAGTATTTGAATTTCCTTTATCTAAACTCTGAGTTTCTTCTGGTTTCTAAACCTTTTTTTTCTTTTTCTTTTTTTTTTTTTAATGGAATTGTCTCAAAAATGGATTGGCCCACTGTCTGCACATCTTCAGCAAAAAGGAAAATCGCATTTCTCTTCAGATTTTTGAGGGGGTTTTTCTGTGGCAGGATCAGCGAAGTTGGATTAGTCCAGCTGAAAAACACCCCACCTGCCCCCTCTGCTGGTATCTCTGCTCCAAGGCTGGAAAATGTTTTCCAAAAGGACAGTGTGGAGGAACACAGGGGATGACTGTCCTGGGAATATCCCCCATTCCACCCAGCCAGCCTTCCTGCATTCCCCATCTCTGGAAGGGTTGGATGGGGCCCTGAGGGAGGTCCCTGTTCATGGCAGGGAGTTGGAATGAGATCACTCTGTGATTCTTGACATGCAGCTCAGACTCTGTGGAGGTCAAGGGAGGCAAAGGGAAAAGTTTTATTTATGGCAATAAAACCAAGCTTTTTTTCTCACTGGTTGAGTGCCAGATATGAAACAGGGGAAAAAAAAAAAAGTTTTATGTACTTTTCAGTATTAAAATGACAGGCACCATCAGCCTCACCCCAACAACCTGCTGGGCTGGGTTAGAGAAGCATTACTTCAATCTGCTCCAGTACTCTGATGCTGAAATCATGACACAGTGTAAACAAGAGCCATACAAAGAAAATAACCTTTATTAAATCAATCCAACCCTGAAAAAACAGTATCAGGTAAACAACTTTCCAGCAATGCAGAAACCTTTGAAACTGAGAAATTCGGGAAGTCTCATGTCCCTCTTGTTGCATTAGTAAATTCTCTCCCTCTTACACGAGCTATTGCTGTCCTGACAGCCCCAAAACCGTGCATTAACCCAGCAATTATCTCAAAACAGTAACTTGTAAAATATTCCCTGTGTAACTGTTTCACACCCAATTTTGTGCAAAGGTGTCAAAACTGTGTTCTCTGCGCTGTCTGAAAAAAGAACAAGGTTTTGTAAAAAACATCCAGCTCATTAACAATAAAACAAGTGTTTTATGTACAGTACAGGAATTTCCAAACCTGAAGGAACACTGTCTCCAGGGTGGCTGTGGGGCTGTAACACCCCAGACTGCAGCTCTGCAGTGCCCAGGGGAGAAAACTGCAGTTAAACAAAGCACTGCTCCATCTTCCTCCTCAGGCCAAAGGTGACACTCCCTCCACCCCTGGGGGAGCCTCATTTATAGCCCTGCACAAACCAGGAGTAAACAGGAGCGTGGCAGCAAGTAACCACTGTTTCCAAAAATGCTAATTTTCATTTCCTCCAAGAACAGGGAGGGTGTCACAGCCTGGCAGGGAGCTGGGTGTTACTGGTGACTGAGCCACCTCGGGACACAGGGCACGTTTAGCCTCCAGTTACGTTGTGTTACTTTGAACAACATGCACTTTAAGGTTCAGCATTTTAATCAACACTTTTTACACTCAAAACCTGTTGGTCTCGGATGCCAGCACCATCTAAAGCTCCTCAAACAAGCCACGACTGAAGTACCAGGAGAGGGGTGAGCTGGAGGCGAAGCAAGCAGCCAGTCACCCCAAAACCAGGGGCACAGCCAGGACAAGGCACAACAGAGCCTGAACGGAGCCCCTGGGACCTGGCCCAGCAGGGAGAGAGAGACTGGCACTGGGACAGCAGCTACAAGGGGGAAGTGGCTTCAAACAGAGCCAGGAACTTTGGTGGCCTCCTGACCTCCCAAAGAACCCGTTCCCCTGCTGGCTGCTCCAAACTCCTCAGTCTGCCTTGGCCTCCCCACTGGCATCAGGGGAGTCTCTACCTGGGAAATCCTCCCCTTTTCTGGCAGAGGAGCTGAGGATTTCGAGGCTGAGCTGGCAGGTGGTTAGTGCAGAGATGGCACAGGGAGAGTGGCAGAGCTGAGAGATGGTTATGACAGAGATTAGCTCAGCACCGAGGCACTGGAAGAACCATCTGAAGAAACAATTCACTACAACAATGAAACTGCTTTTATTAAAACAGAAGTGTTAAGCCAAGAAAATAAATTATTGCTATAATAGACATATTTAGAACATAAGGAAGGACGTTACACCTTGAGTCCAGGTCAATATAACCCTGAAATAGAAAGTTACACTACTTTTCTTAAATACCTCAGTTTCTCTTCATGCCCTTCCAAAAACTTTATAAAATGTGCAGCTTACACAACAAATAGTAACAGAGTCACTTGTAACAAAAATCTGTACAGCTCTTAGCTTTAAAAATAATACATTTTTTTTTTCCTCCAAACTGTTATGTTACTTATTACTCATAAATATAGGGCCAACGAGTTTGGAACGCCCAAGGTCCCATCCAACACCAAAGCTATTAAGTGTAGTTGACAGAAACCTTCTTGGGACTTCCCCCCAGGCAGAGGTTCAGGTTTTGGGCTGTTTGAAAGAGCCTGAGTACGGGCCAAAAAAAAAATCTTCATGGGTGAAGACTGTCTCCTTCTGCTGGTCAGAGGCCTGAGGTCTTCAGGGAGTTTGAAATGGCAATCAAACCTGGAACACAGCACCGTGCAATGGGTTAGACCGGCTGCACTCCCCTGACGTGGCAGGAGCCCGCAGGTCCCTCTGTCCTGGCCAGCAGTGACTTTGCAACACCTGAAAACCACCATTTGTCCAAGCTCAGTTCTGGTGGGGAAAGAATGTTTTGCTGGAAGAGCCCTGCAGGAGAAACGCGGCTCTTCCCCCACGGGGGATGTGTCTCTGTGCCTCAGGACTCGCCCAAAGGCTACACGGGCCAGCAAACCTGTGGCTTCTGTGGCCACTCCAAAAGTCTTGTCTGCCCCTTCTGGATGTTACATTTGAACCCTGGCTAGTTCTGTTCAGCTGATTATGAACACCTGCAGATCACAAGCCACGGGCCTGTGTGTGTGTAACACCCCACGGTGCCAACCCCACAAGCCTCCATCACTCACGGCCTAGTCCTGCCCCTCACATTCCCACCCCTCTGCTCCCTGGGAAAAGGGAGGCTCAGCCCCAAGGACACAGAGGAGGGCTGGTTTGAGTGGGCCCTGACATGATGGAAGCCCTGCTTGGCTTCGAGCCCTGTCAGGGTTCAACCCCTCCTCAGATCAACCATTTCCTCCCAGCCAAGGCATCCTCCCAGACTCACTAAGTACAGGAGCAACATCTGGCAGCTCCCTCAGGACGTCCTGACCACAGCCTAGCAGGTTCCTCTGCCTGACGTGCAGTTTCCTTTGGAGGTTCAAAGGGAACTGTGGGATAAATTCAGCTAGAGGAGAATACCGTGGACTCCCCAGGGTAGTTCAGGGGGACTCAGAGCAGGATTCTGGCAAACAGCCACGAGAAACAGATTAGTGGTTAGACAGGAGGGCAGCATTCAGAGGAAAGCAGCTCATCTGAACACTGGTGACTGGGTGGTGCTCAAGCCTCTACTACCTGATAGTGATTTTGCTTGTTCTGGTTCTGCAAGGCAGATGGATCAGACTGGCTGTTCCAAGTGTTGGCTCCATGGGAGCTGGTCTTCTCATGGATCAGAGCCTCAGAGACCAGTCAGGAATGCATGGGGAAAACTCACCAAGAAGCAGAGGGTGAGGTTCCCCTGACTAAGAGCTACTGACAAACCTGACCAGCCCTCAGAGCTGCTGGAAAATCCCCCCTTCAGGGGCTACTTACAACAACTCCACTTCCTGAGGCGGGGCCGAGGGGCTCACACTATTCTCGAGTGACTTTTGGTGACCTGGCCTGCTTTCTGCAGAGGAGAGAAGCCAGCATTAGTACAGGGTTAGAGGACAACAGCACCAGGACAAGATCTAGGGGGAAGGCAAGCAGCTGAGAACTCTCAGGAACATAAGAGGAAACACACTGACATCTCAGAGCAACAGGCTCCTGCTCCTCCATCTCATTGTTCCCCAAAAAAAGGCCCAAACCTCCCGGGAAAGGAGCTTGGCAGTATCTGCAGCAGAGCTCCAGCCATCCCAGGAGGTTCCATATGTACCCCAGCCCATGACAGCATTATAGCTCCTGTTTGTGCAGCATCCCCTCCTCGTGCAGCCTCCAGCACTGCAGGTCCTTTCCAGCTCATCTCCTCGGGGATCTTGGCCACCGCAGGGGTGGCTCCTGCACCAGAGGGGCTCTTGCCTGCCCCAGAGGAGCCAAGTCTCTGCCAGGGGAAATGTCACTTGCCCACAGTGACCCCGAGCCCAAAAGCAGCATCTTCGGTGCCCCCGTGAGAGGCAGTGGCTGGAACTGGGGAGGCAGTGGCAGGAACAGGCAAAGTGAAGACAGTGTTTTGGCTGCTGGCACTTACTGCAGAAATGTACTGGCTGTTTGTGAACCTGGGTCTCCCCTCCACCGCAGAGCTGTGCTGTGGGGCTATGGGCACGTAGGGGGGCGAGCCCATGTCTTCACAGAAGCTTTCCTGGGGGACGTTGGAGACGCAGCCGCTGTCAGAGCCGCTGGAGCCCGTGGCTGACATGCAGTGCGATGACTCTGAGCTCTCTGTTGCTGGGGAAAGAGAGGAAGGTCACTGATAACCATGAATTTGGGCTGCATATGGCCTGTGCCACACACACTTGATAATGTACCTGTTTGCAGAGGCACTGGCCACACAACCCCACAGATCAGCCATTCTACTCTCTGGGTCTCTTTAAAGCCCCAGGCAACAAAACAAGACAAGGAAACTGAGTCATAATGATGCTGGAGATTGGTATGGGCTGGCCAGGGAAGTTCACATGAGGGAAGCCAAGGGGTCACTGGACCAGGCTGATGAGGGCAAGGGACAGAGTGTTTCATAGCAGAGGGGCAGAGACATGAGTGCCCAAGGCCACAGCAGCACCAGTACACAGCACCAAGGCTGTCATGGGTATGGCTGCAGCTCAGCAGGCACTTTATAATCCCTGTGTCTGAGCTAACTCCCCCTGTGGAAGATGAAACAGAGCTGGCACAGAAGGGCAGGGCCCTCATGCCCTGGCCTGGGGCACTGCTGTGACCCCCAGAGCCTGGTGTGAGTGCACAGTGCAGAGCAAGGTGAGGGGATGAGCCCGCCCCTCCCAGGAGCCGCAGAGCGGCGGGACCCCACGTACTCAGGGACGGTTGGCTGCTTGTCTCGTGCTCCAGCTCGTCCTCCTCGATGCAGGTGCCGATGTCAAAGGGGCATCTGGGGGGCAGGACTTCTGGCAGCAGAGCCTGGTTCACATACATGTGGAGGTTGAGGGGTCCCAGCAGGGAAGAGGAGGAGGAAGGGTTGTAGGCAGTGTGGGTGCTGCCAGTGGAGAGCTGTGCTTGCGTCCTCTTGAACGGGTTGGAATGGTCAAACTGAGACACTGCGATTGATGCTCTGGTCCTGGCACCTGCCAGAAAATGTATTAAAAAGAGCCCTGAGAACCAGCCCTGCCTGGCTCACACAGAGCAAGGTGGAAGGCACAGTTGGCACCTACCTCTGCCTTTCATGATGTAATCGATAGCACGGTCATTGATAGCTGCCTCGCTGGGTTTGATGTCCAGGAATGGCTTGTTACCCACACCCATGGAGACCATCTCCTGCATACGGATTTCTGGAGAGGAAGAGACCCACAGCCACATGATGAGGTTGACCCGACCCTCCCAACAGGCATTACACAACTCCAGGACAGAGCACTCCTGGGCTTGGCTGCTCCTGAACTGCTGAGATTGGATCTGTTCTCCCCTCGCTCCCCAGCCCTGCAGAGTCTCCAACAAGCAGTCGTGCCCTGCTCTGGCCAAGCAGCTCAGTGCCATGCTGCCTAGTAGAGTCCTGCCAAGCGGGAAGCCTGGGGAGGGAGAGGAGGGACTCAGCCAGCCTGATTCAGGCAGCTCCCACTCCAGTAATGGCCTAGACCACAGGGAGAGCAGCAAGTCTTTCAGGGGCACAGCCCGTGCTCACTGTGGACAGAGAACCCTGTGCTCCTATTTCTCTACAGTCACACAGAGCTTGGACTGGTTGAGTTCCCTGGGGATGAGGGACAGGGAAGGGACATGCCCAGCCAAGCCCAGCACATGCTCCTGAGGCTGCATGCCAGCACACAGCTGCTTGCTGCACAGAGCTGCCTGCTAAGAGGCTCCAAACCTACTCAGGACAGCACGAGCCGAACAGGGCTCCCGCACCTTTTGCGGCACAGACGCCCCAGGGAGGAATCACACCTTTATTGCGGGCTGCCTGCTGCCACAGGATCTTGGCAATGTCACTGGTCCAGGCCTGCTTAGTCTCAGCTGAGCTGGCCTGGAGGATGTAGGTGTCGCTGGACTTCCGCCTCCGGAACCAGATCTCAAAGCGCAGGCCGCTGTCTCCAGAGTTCTCTGTCAGACCAATGTCTGCAGTCTGTGAGGAAAGCAAAGCATCAGCCAGGCTGCACCAGGAACAGGAAGGGTAACCTCTGCCTGAACCCTGTGCCACAGCTACCTCCAGCTCGGCACAGCCAGTGGGAAGGAGCCTGAGGTCCTGTCAGGAGCACATACGATCTGGACACAGCTGAGCACACACAGCTCAGGCAATTCCCAGTGCTTCATCCGGAGTTAGCACCACTTCCCTGCCACACACACACTGCCTTTCCCTCACACTCCCCAGCCCTCAGAAAATGCTGCCCTCCATCTCACAGCACAGAGAGGGCCTAGGCATTAATGTGTTAAATATTCACCTCTGGCTTCACTGCATGGCTTGGAGAAGGCTTAGAAGTGGTGGGAGCAGCTCTTCTGCTGAAGGTGCTCCTGCTTCCCATTTCAGGGGCAACTCCATGGGGAAACCAGCCATGGACCTCTCACACAGGAGGGAGCAGCAGAGCTGCCCTTACCTTGAAGGAGCACTTGTAGATATAGACATCAAAGCCACCCTGGATCTTCTTGGGCTTGCTGAAGAGGATCAGATCCTCAAAGAGGAAGACGTGGCGCTGGCACTTCCTACGGCCCAGCCAGATGGTGAACTCATCCTGACGCACCAGCTGCCCCTGCTCCTTCAGGTTTACCTGGACACAGAGCACATCCTAGTGAGACTACAGCAGGATGATCCAGGCAGCCCTACACCTGAGCCCTGGGGTTTCTGCACTTTGCATGCCTCTCCTTCAAGTCCCACCCAGATGATTTTGTCCTACCCCTGGTATCAGTACCAGCTTGAATTCCTTCTTGCAAACTGCCTAACCTTTTTTTCACCAGCTCAGACAAGATGAAAGGCCCAAAGCAGCCTGCAGGACAGCATGTGCAAGGGCTGCCAGGCTGCCTGTCATCACTGGTGAGCACCTGGCAGTGTGTTTATGACAAGCAGCTCACCCCACTCAGGTAACAGCACCCAGGCTGTCTGTCCTGACAGATCAAGGAGACCTCCAAGCCCCGTTGTTCCCTTGCCCCATGCCTCAGTGTCCTGCTACGCTGGACTGGCACACAGCACCCTGAGCACTGTGGGAATCTGAGGGGAGGCTCACCATACAATCCAAAGACCCCAAGCCCAGAGAAGGGGAAGAAGTGTGGCTCTGCCCCCCTGGGCAGGGGAGGACACCGGAACGTACGTCACAGTCACGGATGGCATCCATGGCCAGCAGGTCATTTCCATGCCGGAGCTGAAACTTCACCATCTCCTCAGCTGCACGGAGGTAGCCCAGCTCCTGCTCCTGAGCCTCGCTGCACTCCTTGATCAGGTCCTTCAGGAGCAGGGCGTATTTGCTCATCCTCTGGATGGGTTTCAGCAGGTAGGAGGCCAGGTCCATCTTATCCCCCAGCTGCACCTGCTTCAACTGAGAAATGCAGCAGAGTGAAGGCAGCAGCTTCCCCGTGCCCCCAGGCAGGCACTGACAGCCACAGATCTCCTGGCTGGGGTACTCAGAGAAAACAAGTGCTCTCAGGGAAACGTAAGGCCACAGGACCAGCACTGCTGTGTGCTGGGCTCCTTTTCCAAAGCCCTCACTGCTCTTCTGCCCTGTCCCCCCCTTGCTCCTGTGCAGACACATGCCAGGGAAGCAGAGGCAGCACTGAGCCTGCCTCAGGAAGGAAAGTTGGTTTGTTTAAACAGACTGGTTCAGGACCCAAACACCCTGAGCAATCACGATGCAGGCAGAGGGACTCACCTTGAAGAAGGTATTCCCATGGCTGGCCAGCAGCGAGTCTGACTTCGGCTTGTTCTTACTATACAATGCATACATTCCAAACTGGTCCTTCTGCAGAAGAGATCCATCCTCCAGTGAGACCCACACACCCAGGGCACAGTGACAGCTGTGCCCCTGGCAGGTTACTCTAGTACTACTTCTGCCTCTCCCAGGCTGCACCAGAGCCTCCTGGGATATTGGGAATGACTTTGCTCCAAGCTCATTAAGAGCCAGGGAATGTACTCGTGTTCCTACTCCTATGGTAGCCAGGACTCTTTAATCCACTGTCCTGTCAGCCCTTGCCCCTTCCATACTCCAATATTAACCTGGCACCATTCACACCTGGTAGCAGCAAATATGTGCATGGGGGCAGCTGACCTTAAGACCTGTGCCCCATGCTTCTGTCCAGCAGCCCTTTTCACCCAGAGCAGCAGGTCTGCACCTCTGGTCACTGAAGTCATTCCCCCCTTACACCACAGACAGAAGGTGGGTATGGGATGCCACTGCAGAAGCAGATGGGCTTCAAGAACAGACATTTTGCTTCCCTGGATGTGTCTTTTAGTGGCAAAGAGCATTTGGTGCCATCTGGGTTCAGCCTCACACAGCCATCCCAGTCCAACCTAGCATTTGAGCTGGAAGGGGACAAACCAGCCCAGCACAAGGTAGTCCTCCCCCTCCCACAGCCCACTAACACACCAAATACACAGGCACTGCTGGGCTGGGGGCCGAGCACATGCCCGGAGCAGCCCCACCCCAGGGGGGAGGTGCTGACGGTCCTTACGTGTCGCAGGAAGCAGTGGCTGACCCGCAGCGGGTGGTTACAGCAGCTCTCCAGCTCCCGCAGGAAGTACTGGCTGTGGAAGTCGTAGAGCTTCTCCAGGTTGCCGAAGATGACGCTGCGCTTGCCGCGCAGGTCCTGGGGCAGGTCCAGGCGCTCCATCTCGGGGAAGTAGCTGTCGATGATGTAGCGCAGCGACCGCACGTACTCCCGCTCCGTGGTGACCATCTCGTCGATGATGTGCCGCAGTTTGCTGCAACAGCAAGCACAAGGCCCTGAAGGGACCCCAGGCTGCGGCAGGGTCACGGCAGCCAGAACGCCTGCAGAGCACTGCACTGTCTCTGCAGAGACCCAGCACAGAGGGGAGATGATCCCTCAGCACAACCCAGGCTCATGTGAACAACTACCTGGGATAGCACTGACCCTGAGCACTGACAGGACCCAAGGGAATGGCATGAAGCTGTGTCAGCAGAGGTTTAGGCTGGATACTGGGAAAAAGTTCCTCACCCAGAGAGTGGTTGGGCAGTGGAACAGGCTCCCCAGGGAAGCACATTCACGGCACTAAGCCTGACAGAGTTCAAGAGTGCTTGGACAACGCTCTCAGGCACAGGGGGAAATCTTGGAGTTGTTCAATGCAGTCAGGAGTTGGACTCAATTATCCCTGTGGGTCCCTTCTGACTTGGGATATTCTGTGATTCTAAGAAACCCTGACAGCTTTCCTGTTCAGGGAGAGCGAGCCTCGGGCTGGCTGTGATCCTGGCCCAAGCTCAGCAGGGCACACATCCCTTGTCCTAGTAAAGCAAGAGCAGGAAGCAAACCGTGTAACACCTCATCAGCAAACAGCAGTTCCCAGCATGGGCTGCTCCACATATCTAAGGGTGCCTCTGAGGTACTCGAGGTTGCCACTGCGAGGCAGTGTAGCACCAAACATAACCACTCCAACGTGTCCCTGCCTCAGCTTTTCCCCAAGCCAACTCCTCTGGTTGTTCAGAGGACAGTTCTTCCAATGAGAGCAGCTGAAAGACCTGCCTGGAGACCCCCTGTCAAGAACAGCTCACATCCCCGGCCTCTCCATAGCTTAGGCACGTTGAAGTATGACAACAAAGTTGAGACTCTCAAGGACAGAGAGGGAAAAGAAGAGCACAAGAGCCAGCTGCTGGACATCCAGAAATTTCAGCCCCAAAGGAAAAATCCAGTCTCTTACCTGTGAAGCTGGAAATGCTTCCCTAACAGTCTGGATCCAGCACTGCCCAAAAGTATGTGGGACAATGGACTGTGTTTCTGCTCCCCCACTGCACCTCTACCCCTGCTCTGCTGGGTCCCTGAACAGCGTTTCTGCATCCCCTCATCCTCCAATGCCAGCAAGGTTGAGAGACTCCCTCTCCTGGGACTCCTTCCCCTCTTAGAGGAATGACGCTGCGAGGGAAGAGCAACAGATCCCATTTCTCTGCCTCCCCACCGAGAAAGCTGCCAGGCTATGCAGGGACATCCCTGTGTGCTTGCTCAGCACCCCACACGTGTGTGCAGGAACGATGGAGATGCAGCTCTAGTCACCTACCCTGTACCCAGTGCTCAATAACCAGCTCTGCAGAGCTCCCTGCATCTCAGCTGGCTGCCTTTTCATCAACCTGAGAAAGCACCAAACATCCTAGCCACTTACCTGCCCCAGCTCTTGGCTTCCGAGGCGGAGAGGCAGCCCCTGTGCCCCTCGAGCAGACAGTCTGCAGCCCAGCTGTGAGCCGCCGGCTGCCGCAGCGCGAACGTCCTGTCCACCAGCTCGGTGCTGCTCACCTCCAGCCCCTTGATGAAGACGCCGGTGTTGCCGTACCTGACCGGCTCGCTCCTCTGGCAGCTCGACCACAGGCTCTCCCCACAAGGCAGGTCGAAGCTCTGGGCCTTCCGGAGCACCCTCCTGGGAGGCAGCTTCCCTGGGGCTGGAGTGGATGCAGAGGGGGGCTTCACCTCCGAGGTTTCTAATATGCTCTCGAGGTTTGGCTGTTCTTCAGGCAGCTTTGGAGACTTGCAGGCCCCGCTGGCAAAAAAAACTCTGCTTGAGTGAGGGCCCGGGCTGAGAGCAGTTTGGCTGGCAACGTCTTCCCCAGCCCCGACATCAGCGGGGCAGCTCAGGGAGGGCGAGGGAACTTTCTCCTTAGTCCACTCCAGGGAGCAGTTGGACCTGTTGTAACAGTGGGACGCGCTGTAAGTCCTGTCCCAGTGGGACCTGGAGGTGGCTCCCTCTGAGTGCCGCCAGTGGAACAGACTGCCAGCCTCGCTGCCAGCCTGGGGCTGCTCCCCGGCAGCTGGGCTGTGCTCTGACAGCAGAGACTTCCTTGTTCTCAAGGCTGCTTCGAGTTTCTTTTCAAAAACCAGCTTGGTCTCCTGACATTTAGACCACGCGAATTTCCACTGCTTGAGCCCCTTGTCACTCTTCAGCTCACAGGCCAAGTCCTTCATCTCCTGGAAGCGGGCAGCGCTGATGTCGGGGTGCTGCCCCTTGTAACTCTCCAGGCACTTGATCACATCTGCACAGTGCTCGGGGGAGCTGCAGTCCTCCATGCTGACACAGGCAAGGTGTCGCATCCCTTCCAAGGCCCACTCGTACGCCTGCAGAGCGAGAACAAAAAGCAGCAGCCGGTCAGAGGGACTCTGCGAAGAATAACCCTAAATCCGTGCCTGAAGACAAGAGAAAGGATCAGTGTGTGGCCATCGCAGATCGATGTGTGTGTGTGGGGGCTGCTGTTGTCAATGGGGTTTAACAATTCAGCAAAACAAACAGCCCCTTATGCAAAGGGCTTCAGCTGTGCTGGCTGCTCTGCCACAGCCCCACCTCCCCACCAGGTCCCAGCAGCGCTGGCACCCACACTGCTGGGCACGTTGTCCCCTCCGGGCAGGGGGGCCCAGGGGAAGCTGCTGCTAAGACTGTAGGAATTCACACCTCAGTGTGACCCTGCTCAGTAGGAAACCTGGAGCTCTCCCTCCCCCTCTGCCCAGCCACTCTTACCACTGCCATGCAGGACAAGGTCACAGGGGCATCAGTAAGCTGCTGCTCCCCACACTACTTCCCTGGAGCTGACAGCACACAGAAGCCTGGAGCTCCACCAGAGCTGGGCTCTGGGGATCACCCCAAGTGCTCTGACCCATCCTTGCAGCAAGGAGGAATCTGACACTGTGCAGCTTGAGCCTGTGCCCGCTGGCAGCCGTGTGGTGAGCTGTGCCCTGCCTACCTGCCTGGCTCTGCTTGCCACTGCACTACATGCTTGTGCTGGTTAGCTGAATGCTGAGCTCAGCAGTTTATTTCTAATATTCCAGGAATGCTGGAAGCAGCTTCATGGGGCTTAACTCCAGCAGTGGTGCATAAAACAGTGCCTTGCTGAGACAGCTCTGCCACATCAGTCAGCCAAGAGGAGTGGGACAAAACATGGTCCAACAGGACAGACACAAGGGAGGAGTGAGTACCTTATCACCATGGCAGGAGAGGGGCTAATAAAGCATCAAGCACCAAGTCCTGTCTGTCATCAATCAGATCAGAAGAAAGGCAAACATCTGACAGGCTCATTAGCCACCTCTCTATAAAGCAGGGATGATGACAAGGTTTAATGATAGAGTAAGATGTGACCAGTAGCCACAGGCCTGGTCAGGGAATTTTACTATGCATCAGTGAACACACAGGGTTATTTGTCAAGATAGATGCACAAGACAGGGAAAACACCCAGGACAGGGCTGCCTGGCATCTTCCACCAACTGCCCACACTAGAGGATGTGCAGAAACACCACCAGCTGCTCTTGAAGTGAACCAGACCATCCCTAGCACTTGACCTGTCAGGCCCTGTGTACCTGCAGAAAAACAACACTCATGCTTTAGTGCCAGGAACAAAGTGACCAGCTTTTACATTTTCCACTTCCTGAGCAGCCTTACTGTGACAGGTTTTACTCAGAGAGCTTAAAGCCCTTACGTTTATGCAGGCTTAGACACCAAGAAAATCCATCCAAGCTTTATGCAAGCAGACACTGCATCCCTATTGGGCACATGGTGGTTAAACGGATCAGGAACCAGGCTCACTCTGCTGGAGAGTGAGGGTAGGCAGGGCAGAAGGTATTTCATTCACATGCTGCCCAGTCCCTGGATAAGAATGGCTATGAGAGCCATCTCCTAGCTGCTGTTTATACAAGAGCTAAATGCCAGTACAGCCTGCAGACTGAGCAGAGTCACTCCAGGGGCAGATTCCACCGGAGTTCCCAGAGCCATCCGCACTGCTCTTCTGAGCTGCAGCTGCACGGCGTGCGTGCAGCCAGACCCATTACTCACACTGAGCTCCTTCAGAAACACCAGCAGCTGCTCAGGGCAGAGGCTTCTCAGCCCCACACAGCCACAGCACAGAGACAGTGGAAAGAGCAGCAACTCCCTCTCCATCCATCGCCCTGCCCTACGCAGCAACAGAGCCCTCACCCGCCTCTCTCTCGATCCAGGCCTTATGCCCTAGACCTGCCCACTGCTGGGGGCCAGAAGGGGTGTGCAGAGGCAGAGGACGTGCCAGATTCTGGTGAGAAGTTGCATTTCCCCATGATGCAGAGGGTCTTCAATTCCCTGGAGATGGAAGCACATCCAGGAAGGTGACACACCAAGCGCAGCAGAGCCCGGCAGTGACAGATGGATGATTCTGCTGTGGTTCTTTGAGCTGCCCCCTCCAGCTGCACACAAACCAACACCAGCCCCTTCCAGGGGCAAGGGCTGGCCATCCATGTGGGCTAAGAACAGGCACACCTCACCTCTCTGGCTGTGGGTGATGGGTGATGCTCACTGGCTGCCTTCGCTCAGCGATGGAAAAGCTGAGCTCAAAAGGCACTCTGGGCTCTGAGAGAGTGTGCTCAGAGCACTGTGCAGGACAGAGACAGCCAAAACACCAGCCTGGACTTCAGAGCAGCTGGGCAGGAGGGCAGCCACCCTGTGAAGGCCTTATCCAAGGCTGGGATACTCATTTCCATGCACAGATGGAACAGAGAGAGAGAGAGACAGAGAGAGAGAGAGAGAGAGAACATGGCTTCTTTTATTTCTAGGAAACTCCACAGATGTGCATGGGACCACTGGAGGAGGGATCAGGCTGCAAACCATGCAGGGAGGCAGCTCTGCCACCTCTCATGTTCACACAGTCTCTGTTCTTGGCGAGGACCCCAGGGCTGTGCAGAAACGACTCCCACTCCCGATGGCATTCCCTCCATCCCCAGGGCCTGTCACAGCCAGCGAACAGCTCAGCTTTGTTCCCAGTCCCATGGAGCAGCCTCCACACCCTGCAGCTTGCCTGCTAACATGCTGAGGGACCACCAAGGCTTTCTCCAGTCACATCACCCACTTCACTGCTCTTTTTAGCACAGAAATGGCAGCTCTCTCTGGAGACCAAGCGTGCCCCCATCCTCAGGCAGGGTGTATTGCTGTCACCGGTGTTCCCCCAGGAAGGTTATAAACAGCACCCAGTCAAGCCAGGATACCAAAAAACATGGGACTTTTGGGGAACAAGGCAGCCCTACAGCTTCTCTGCAAAGCTGCAAGGGCTGCTCAGTGTAAGAGGAGGCAGCCATGCACAGTGAGGCTGAAATCCTCCCAACCATGTCTGGAACCAGGCAGGAAGGAGCCTGTACCTTGGCTTTTGTTCCTTACAGAAAAGTCGTTACCGAAACTCTCAATTAAAGGATTAAAGACAGATGTGCTTCCTGCACACGCAGGGCTGACCTATCCTGCAACAGGTTGGTCCTGCCAGGCTGCCCAGGAGAGGCAGGGGCTCTTGGGGACGTAACCCTCAAGCAACCCTCAAGCCCATCACCCTGTGCTGGTCCCTGATCATTTCACCACGGACAAGGCCTGCAGCACACCAAGGACAGAAGCTCCTGGAGTCTGTTGGATTTGGCATCACTGAAGTGCCATCTGCAAAGTACTGTCCAAGAGAAGCTGCTCGGCCCTGGCTCAGGGCACGTTGCCAGCAGTGCACAGAAAGCCTTCCAGGGGTCCTGGATCCCCACCTGAGCCACCACTCAGATATTACATCTTCCCAACTCAAACTTATTACAAACCCACCAGATTCCTTTCATACTCATGGTTCAGTGATCTGTAAGACCCCTTCTGGGTAGCCAAAACAGGGGACAGACACTGTGCATTTCAGACATGCCAGAAGGGGCAATTTCAGGGGGGTCTGGCTTTGTCCAAACCTTTTCCATCTCCTCCTGTGGAGACACGATGACTATAACTGTATTTTTTCTTGTCACATAGGAATCTGGGTGTCTGAGCAGGTAGAAGTAGGCTAAAACCAGACCTCATCCTACCTCCCTATCTGTCCAGAGGGGGTCCATACCCTGGTTGTGCCCAGATCTGTGCTGTACAAGCCCTACAAGCCAGACTTGAGGCAGGGCCACTGCTTCAGTGTATCATCTCAGCTATTCAGAAGCAAATACTGCAAAGCAAAATACCAGATTGGGGAGCCCTGGTAACCAGAGGCAAGGCAGAGGGGGCAGGGGCTGAGCTTCACATGAGAACTACTGAGATGTGCAGAGAACACCCCGACTGGGCACAGGCCAGATCCCCTTTCTCTCACAGTGCAAAACACAGGGAGGGAAAACATCCCAACCGACCCCAAATTCAAGCAAAATGCAAAGCAAGCTGCTACCCGACACACAGGAGCTGTGGAGGAAACAGTCATCCCTCCCAGACATTGTGATGCTTTTTCCACATCTCCAGAGCCAAAGCCCCTGCTCACTTCTAGCAAGGTCTGTGGCCCCAGGAGCAGGCAGAAACACTGGAGACACGAGAAACCATGTAATTGCAGAGCACAGGCATTTCAGCAAAGCCACCAAGTTAGAAGTAATCGCCTCTCTGTGCAGAGATTCGCTGTTGCTCTCTTCCCCACCCTGCAGCACTCGACTTTTCCAAACTGCATCTGAAGCCCTGCCTGGGATTCATTAGCAGCAGAAACCAAACTAATCAGGACTGTGTCCTGATGTAGCTGGTAGGGGTGTGACTGTAGGGATGTAGCTGCTAAAAGCTCAGCTTTAAAGACAAAAGGACTGACACTCTTGAACTGAAAAGCTAAATCACTTCTGAGTTGCTGTGTAGCTCACAGGGCCTCCCCTCCTCTCTCCAAGGGGGGACATACTACTGAAATCATCAATTTGCCTAAAATTAGCTGCTAAGGGAAACAAACTCTAAATCCTGTATTTGCATTTCTGCCAGTTACCAAGAGCCAGCTGTTGCACAAACACCACGGGAGGGCAAAGGATGAAGCACAAACTACAAACTCCTTGGATTTAAGCATAAGAAAGGAGATCAAGCAGTAACCACAGCTGGGCAGGAGAGAAGAACAAGGGGTCAGGGAAGCAGCACCTGTCAGGGTTAGTCTGGGCACGCCACAGCCCAAGCACCATCAAAGGCTGCTCATTAAAGCAACTTGCTTGGACATCCATTTGCAGCAGCGCTCAGGATGAACACGACCAGAGCTCAAAGATCCCTTCGTTTGCCCTCTGGGCAGTCAGGCATGACAAGTCCAGGAGAGCCTAATTACAGGAGAAGATAATTGGATAAAAGAGGATTGCACACGATTTCTGCTCTGTTGACGACAGCA